ACATTATTGAAACATAAACAGATAATATTATGCATCAACTTTTTTAGAACGTAATCGTGTGCTTTTAAGCAGTTTAACCCCAAATTTTTGCGACCGTTTACTCTGCAAGATTTACTGTAAAAATATTTTTGCTGACCGCCGTTATTTTCTTCCTGAACTGTAACTAAATGTTCTTTGTACTTTTTAATAAATCTTTCGCTCCTTCTTCCTTGCGAGCATTATACTGTAATACGTTCCATAAATCCGTTCTTGGACTCATGATTTGAATATAAGGCGTTAATTGGTGCCATAACTTGCGGAACGCATCATATTTTAACAATTTCAATGTGCTGTCGTTTTCGAGACCTGCAATAAACCCACGATAGACCGATTTATAACTTGTTTCGGCTGGCAATAGTGTAAGCGATTGAGTAATGCGATTGATATTTCTACCAGGACTTGGTAATCCATGAATTTCAGCTTCACAACGGTAGCAACGGTTATATCAATGGTTATTTTGGTCTTCCATCGTTTTATGTTACCATGAACGCGTGGTATTCGTCGCTAAGTGATTTCTGACGTTTTCGAAGTGCGTGCGACCAATTCTTAACGTATTAAGATACGTTTTCTGACAAAGAGGCGTATTGCGATCTCAATAATAAAAAGTTCTTTTATTAGTGCGCGTTTTCTTTTAAGACGTTGATTGGCAGTTATTTCTCCACCATTCATTGCTTTCAGCTGGGCCATTAAAAATATGTCTTGTTCAGATCTAGAAAGAGCTTGAAACGCCTCACGTAATTCGGCAAACTTTTCTCTCGGCATCATTTTTGAACAACCACATTTGCAACCTATCTCTAAGAAACGCGTGGCCTTTTTATATTCGCTATTTTTCATATACGGATAATCCTATATATATACATAGGACTACTAGATGACGCAAGACTGTGGAAGACTCGGACATATGGGAAACAGGCGCTCGACGAACATTATTGTCTAATTCAGACAGTTTCTGACGGTAAGATTCATGGAGATTGTAAATGCTCTGCTTAAAAGCTTTGAATGTTTGAGCATGGTTGGATACTCATTTAGAAGATAAAACAGTGGAATTACTGGTCCAAGAGGATCACATATGGGTAAGTCTACACAGATGGCACCAGCGAATCCAAGAAACGGACCTGCCAGATATAAAATAAACACAGGGCAACAAGTTTTCTGAAAATAATTGAGTTGATTGTATGCAGTAGCTTGAAGAAACGCAACAATCATGGCCCTTTCCAAATTCGGGTTTGACTTCTAAGATAACTAAAATTATATCTTCGCCTTATATGTCCATCGGTCTCGTATGCACCTATTTTGTTGGCAATAAAGCTATAGTTACTTATATAGTTTCGTATAAGGTCAATAAATGCCATCTTCCGCTTGTCCTCATTGTCAAAGGGTTTGCACATTTCCTTGGAAATATCAATAGCAAACTTTTCATCTTGAATATCTACTTGGCATGACACGCACAAATCCATGAAATCACTAAATATATGATGATAGAGACATATTGGAATGTCATATGCTTCAGCAGGGCGATGGTTCAACACAACTGGTTGTACACCTTACCTTGAATGGAACTCCATGAGGGCGAATATGCTGATGGCTTCAACCGTCTAAGCACATCAGGTGAAAGGGAGATGTCATTATTGTCAAGGTCTACATCCATCCGCATCCGTTTTGACAGGGCTGTCCTCCATGCAAGCCCAGACCATAAAAGCGACGATGATCAAAAAGAACAGAAGGAACAAATGCGTCAATGTCAAAATAATAGAAATACTCTACTCTACCCTGCGTACACACTACTCTATGTCCCCAACGCCGAGTCACAAAGTCGTTACCTGTTTGAGTAGTCGCCCCCGCTTGCCGCAACATCTTAACCCACACCATTCTACAATCCTCCACAGCCTTTATCAACCTGGCCTCCTCGCCTTCCAACCTCTCCAGTGATTTTTTCTCTTTTGCATTGAGATCCTCCCGCTCCTCCTTATCCCTCAACCCAACCAGCTGTACTCCGCCTCCTGAAACTTCTCCAATGCCCCGTTCGCCTTATCCAGTTCATCCTTCGCTTCCTACTCTTTTTGCTGCCAATACTCAAGCGTAGCCATGGTAGTTTTGTTTTGGTTTCGATGGGACGCGATCTAATATACCAACGCCAATCAGTGATATGCAGAACAAACGAATATTTTATTATAAAAACAGCACCGGTTAACTTACTTCAAAAATTAACCACAACGCAATAAATATTTGAAGCAATAAAATGCCTACATTCACAAGCGAATTCTTTTTCGGAGTATTTATTGGCTTTGTTCTCGGCCTGTTGATAAATGGCATGGTTTTTAATAGCCAGCTCCGCAATATGGGAATTACGAATATGAAGTCCAGAAAATCATCAGTAATGAAACCATCGATGACTCACAAAATTTATTCACCAGAAATCGAAAAACGTTGTGGAACAATCTGACCTAAATTTTCATTTAACAAAATGGCATTCGAAATTTATAAATTACTTGAAGAAAAAGCTGTCGTAGCTTCCACTATACGATACTTTTATCTTCAAAGAACAACCCCGCGGAAAAAGACTATTGAAGCAATCCAACGTTGGATCGACGAAGAGAAGAAGAAAGATGTAATTCACTTAGATAGGGAAAATAAAAATGAAGAAATAGATAATAGTAATAGTAAAGAAGAATGAAATTAATTTGCACTAGAGTGACCAAAGAACAGGTAATACTCATAAATGGCTTTGGGTCCGAGTATTTTCCTCCCATGCAATCACTCTGGTGCTTTTAGTATTATTATATCTTCAAGAGCGCGCATTCAATAATTAAAATAATAAAATTTACACTTACGATAAAAAGAATTAATTTTACGTTGTTTGACTCTTGATTGCAATTGTGTCGAAAGAGCAAAATGCGAACCAAAGCTTAATAAATGTATCCGAGTATTTTTTATCAAGACCATAACAATAAGAGGAACGATCTTTCGTTAATAAATTGCTTTGTTTCTTGTTTATTATTTTTCGTTCTTCTTGGTAAATTTCATAAGTAAATTTTTCTTGATCTAGATATTTTTCAAGAATTTTGGTGTCATTCATTTTAAAAACATAAGGTGCAATTTTTTCTCCTTGAGCTTTCTTTAGAATGCTTCTAATGGTGCTATAATTCTTTGGTTCCATAGTGGACTTAATGTAAATTAGTTTCATATTATAATTTTTTATATAGGGACAATCCTATATTAATCATGTTATGGTTCATATTCATCACATTCTGGTATGATAAAGTGAGCATTAAAATTAACAAGTCCATAATAATAAGTTATGAATGAGCACCATTATTACTTTTTAAAACGTCATCAGTCACGCTGGTCAATTTTACAGCTGCATCATAATCAGCCTCTCATTTATGTCACATAATAGAATGTTCACTTTGTCTGGTTTTGTTGCAGCATGCCCCATATACACCAATACGTGTTTTCACGTGATCAAATTATATTTTCCTCAGGTGACTCGATAATTTTGAAAACAGCGATAATGTATAGTAATGGACTAGAACGTTTGCATGTCAAATAGACCATGTTTGAATGGAAGCTTCGGTTTGCTTGAACACTTAAATTGAATGAGAAGTGAATAGTACTATGCTCGACTCATTAATAGAAGGGTTTAATGAATCTATCAATATATCGGCGTAGCAAAGAAATCGATATAATAAGGAAGATCGTTTGGATAATGGAATCTGGTAATTTTCGGTCTAGCCGCTAATTTATTATTAACGAAATGACGCTCGTCATAATCTTGTCCTGAAAAATATCAGCGTGAAAATAATGATATCTGCTTAACTATTTCCAAGTTCCCATGTCACATAACGAAGAGCGACCTAATCTTAACTCGGCCTAAAAATAGGGTCAATACGTAATAGATGCAGTGAACAGATGCATTCTGCATTTCCGTGAACAGTATGCTGCACGGAGCTAGTGCAACAAGTGGGCGTCACAACAAAAAGAATACTTCTTGACAACCAACTATCGAGTACTTTTTGACAAGCTATGCAGAGATGCGCTAAAGCTTTCTTGTTATTATGTCATATTGACAAGAACTGGGAAGCCGGGAAATCTAAGATCTCGCAGATCCGCGGTTGCTTACGGACACTAGTAAATATTGGGAAATACTTTCTGCATGCAATAGTAATAAATAGCATGAAACATTCTTCTCATGCGTTAAAACATCGATTGTTTCACTTCACATGCAGCGGTCGTGTGATCCTGCTTATATAATTTGATGATCTGCAATCAACACTTTCGCCTTTCAGTTGATCTTTTATTCTTACTCATCATAGAAAGTACGAAAGATACAGTAGCTTCGTTGATATTAATTGGCTAGTCTTCTACAAGTAAAGCAAAATGTGACTACTATTTGAATATTTAAAAAAAAAAAAAAGCACCAGGATGCTGGTGTGGCTGAAAATACCTTATGTATAATAATAACGATAATGTCTAACTAAAAATACGCTTTTTTAAACATATATATCATAACAAACGATATTTCATTAGCTTAACGAAAGTACTGTATCTACTGGTTGTCCTGACAACTACTTGATTATTATTGCAGTTCTCAAAATTAGGCAGAATTAAATCCTTGAAGTAAATACAATAATAGACTAAGGTAATTATATATATAACAAGACATAGTAATAAGCATAAAGTCGAAGTAAAATAAAACTCTATTTGCTTATTCGAAAGTTTATCAATAATCCAAAACTACTTAATAAACAAATTTTTCGAGTCCCACTCTCGCAACGATTTGTCCAGGTATAGTTTAACATATGAAGCTACTTCTTAATTTATTTTATGCGAACTTTGTTTCAAATAGCTTCCTTTGCTTGTGTTTGAGTGAGGTTTAAATTGGTTATTAGTTATTTTAAACTTAAGATATGTAATTGTTATTATTTCAAATACTCATGCTACTAATATTAATATCAGCTCGATTCTGTTATAAAATGACCAGGTCTTTATTGTAATAATATATCTCTTACATTTCCCTAACATAGACAAATGGTTTATACTTGTTACTATTACTGATATTACAAATGAGAATAAATTGTAGTCTAAAACATTTACAATAGCCCTCTCAATAGAGAAATTGTCTTTGGAATTAATCACGGAAATTACTTTATAAAATATGACTTGTCAGATATTCTGCATCTTTCTGAAAGAATACGGTTTGACACTAAAAAACTCGCATAGGAGTTTTTCAAAACAATTAATAATATACTTTTTTGCGTTCAGTTTATTACTGCAAGACAATACATCTTTCGAGTGAAATCACGGGTCATAAACTTTTCGTAGATTCTGCTGTCCTCGCAGACAGGCAGTGAAAAAATTCATGTTGTATGATTAAAATTCTTGCCGACTGTATGAAAAATCGCCGTTCAAGTATAAAACATTACAACCTTGCGACAGTTTTAAACATTTATGTATTATTTATATCCTTATTTATATGTCCTATAACAATTAACAATAATATCTGAAACGCGTTGTTGATAATTAGATGTACTTTTTTATACATGAATCATTTTACATAGTATTATACCGATGCTTTGTTTCCAAGCTATGCTTACATGCTAAAATAGAATATGGACAATAGCTGGAGTGGGAACAAACTACTTTTTGCTGATAAATCTTGTATTCAAATAAATTATTATAAAAAGACAAAATGCATATGAGCGATGAAAGAAAGCGTTTTTATAATTGTGATTACTCGATAGGGAAAATGCTGGAGAGAGTACCAAGAAGTTATATTCTTTATTTCAGTTTTGAATATTGTCAGACATGGTCCATGTTCATCAAGGATGCGGATTTCAAAATTCACAACTGCTTTTTCGCCACTGATAAGAAATGTCCATACAATCATAAAAAATAGCAAGGTTTTCGATTACCGATATCAACTTATATCGTTTAAAAATCGGGGCAACCCTTCGTATATCTTGATGACTGGTTTAAAAATCGAGACTAACTTTGCCACTAAGCAGTCTAAAATTATGACACAATTTATAAGCATTAATTTATGCTTACATAATTTGATTTTTGCGAAATGCAAAATAAAACCCTGGACAATCTGCGGCGTTCGCAGTTTTGAATGCTCTGTTGGGTCAAAGTTCACTCTATGTACTCCAGTTTGTGGCACCCACAATTCTAAATCTTTCTGTGGCGTTAAAGTTGTAACCGTAAATGTGTTAGGCCAAGCCTCTATCTTATCTACCAGATCGGAGTTCCAAAGAACCTGAGTGATTTTCGCGAGTCCCTGTGGAGTACTTTGCCGGACGAAAGCTTTTCCATAAGCAGATGCGGAACCTATTATTGATGAGGGAGTTACTTCATACTTTCCCTTTTTCTGTGTCGCTTTTCAGTTGGTGTAACATGTTAATAACCAATTTGCATTAGTGTTAGCTTTTATAGAACTCGCACTTGAGGGACCCCGATGATGTAAAAAAAAAAAAAGTGCCTGCTTTAATATTAATATTAATATGGTTTTATTAACCTAACCATAAATATTTAAATTTAACCAATCATTTGCGACGCTCTATCAGAACAATCACCACATGTTTGTTTTCACATGCATGAGTGACTGGTTCATATTAAAATAAGAATAACAATTCCGCCATCAAAAAACTACTTGTTTAACTTATTAATATCAATCATTAATAACACAACGACGATGAAAACTTGATAGTGCACACAATGGCAAGTCCCTTCTCCCCATTTCCCCATTGAATGCTGGCCCAATAATTGTGTAATGCAGATAATAAATAGATGATTGTAAAAAAAAAAAAAGCTGGATAGACTACTTTGAAATTTTCGATCGAAGAACTGAGGTGAGTATGAACCGTTAATAATTGAATTGAGGAAAAGCCGGCTGTATAAATAGATGGATGGAAATTATAAACATTATCAGATCAATCACCGGATAAGAACAAGAATATCCATAATAATAAGCGAACACAACATTGAGAACAGTGACATATCCATAATAATAAGCGAATAACACAACATTGAGAACAGTGACCAGTCAATTGATTTGATAATAATGGACTTGAAGAATTTCAATAGCGTTCCAAAACAAACAAACAAACAAAGCAAGCTTCACTTCTCACTTAAATTATTTATCGACTAACACACACTTTATCTAGTTCTCTTTCAGTCATGTCACCACCACACACTGAAACGACCACTGCTCTTCACCGCCGCTCTTCCGCCTCTTCCAAAGTTCAGTACGAACGCAACTACGTTCCCCCAACGTTCACCATAAAACAAATTCGCTCAGCTATTCCATCCCATTGCTTCGAGCGTTCGACTCTGCGTTCATTTTCTTATGTCATCAACGATCTCATAGCGGTTGCCATCCTCTTTTACATTGCCACATATATCGATACGCATCTCCCTGTTTATCTCAGATATGTTGCGTGGCCCTTGTATTGGTTTTGGGCAGGAGCATTTGCTACTGGCCTTTGGGTCATCGCTCACGAGTGTGGCCATCAAGGATTCAGTGATTCAAAGACTGTTTGTAACGTTGTTGGATTCGTATTGCATTCGGCCCTCCTAGTACCTTATTATGCATGGAGATTGACTCATTCGAGACATCATAAGCATACCGGAGACATATATAAAGACGAAGTATTCGTACCGAAAACGAGAAGCCAGTTGGGATTACCGAAAAAAGATAGCGAGCAGGACAAGGAAAGAACGAGGAAAAGAATGGAGGGAGGGCTCTCTGAAGACATACCGATAATTCAATTGGCAAGTCTGATAGGACAACAGTTAATCGGATGGCCCTTGTACTTGACGCTGAATGTTTCAGGAAGAAAATATCCGGGATGGGCCAATCATTTTATTCCCACCTCGGCCATATTCGAACCCAAGCATTACGTACCTGTTGTGCTTTCGGATATCGGTCTCGCAGTGACGTTATCAGTGTTGGGATATTTTACGTATACATATTCGTTCATGACTGTCGTAAAATATTACGTGATGCCCTATCTGGTGGTCAACCATTGGTTGGTAATGATCACTTTTCTTCAACACACTGATCCCCAATTGCCTCATTATAGAGGAGAACTCTGGGATTTTATTAAAGGAGCTACGTGTACAAGTGAGTGTTTTGCAACCGTAGTGAGCGCGTGAGGATAGGTTGGACGTGGGAGCGATATAGAGTGGGACTTGCAAAGATGCATAGCAAACTTTGAGGGTGCACGTGGGAACGGAATTGCCTGGAAACGTATTGTAGAATGAACTCAACTAGAACAAGATTGCTTGGAACACCCTCTTGATCGCTAACCATTGTCTTCCCATTCTATTCTCTTACTCCCTAAAATTTCAAATAGTTGATCGTCATTTTGGGATCCTGGATAGCATATTCCACCGAATCACATCGACACATGTCGCCCATCATTTCTTTTCGACCATGCCCCATTACCATGCCGAAGAAGCCACTAAACATCTTGCGCAAGTCCTCGGTTCGTACTACCTCTTTGATGATACGCCCATGTTCAAGGCTCTTTGGAGGAGCATCCGCGAGTGTCGGTTCATTGAAGATGAAGGAGAAGTTTTATTTTTTAATAAATAGGGGAAAGTTGAAATAAGATAATGAAAAGGGATAATGAAAAGGGGGGAAAGAATTTAATGAATAAACATTAGTGAATGAGAAGGTATTTGTATGTTGTTTGTCAATGATGTCAGCGGGAGTTGGCCATTAGACACAGACGTTGTAATGTAAGGAACCAATAAACCTTTTTAGCGCAAGAATCATGAATGTTTTACCAAAAAAGGGCAGGGACACTTTCGGCTCAATTCGGGGATGTCAGCGCCAAATGAGCATTCCCATTTCAAAAACGTTCCCCCTTTTTAATGATATCATCCGGTATACCGAACATCTGGTCAGCTACGTGAGCTGACCATCACGAGTTCAATTTCCATAGCATAAGCCACACGATACACAAACAGATAAAGAATACTGTAATAACCAAAAGAATACAATATAAAAAATTAAAGTAAGCAATTACCAATCGACAATATATTAAAATTATATATTAATATGTAGTAATTATCGTATTTAAGGCAAGGATCGCCGATTACCGATAACGGTTTATATAAATACACAGTATTACCCCTCCATGTTCAAAATTAGAGCCCAGAGTAACAAACACAACCCAATAAATTAGTTTGTGTTGGAAAATCTAGTATATAAATCTTTCTTACCCAGAGCTGAAACATAGAAGACTTATAATATCTGCTATTTGTATTGTTTGCAGCCTCTCATCTTGTGTGTTTGCTACTAACCACCTTGTAAAATACTAATATCAATATTTATCTACCTCTCGTAATTTTATGTTTGATTTAGCCCTCGATTCATTAAAAATAATAATAGAGCTTTTTCGACGAAACTTTGCAAAGATATCTTGACAAACATATACTATCTAATATTTTATATTACATATAATCGTTTCTAGACTTTCCCTTATTTCTCATCTACTTTAACTTTGAAAAAATTCTGCCTCTCTTGTGTAAGGCCCGTTTGATTTCACAATGATTACATTTACGCCAGATTTTTGGGCACCTGGCTTGGACGTCAACGTCCGACGTCGGATTCCACCAACCGATGCACTATTAATCAACAGTGAGTCAAGGCCAAAACAACGTCCCACCTCGCTGCCACCATTCTCATCCCCCGGTGTATCGCCCCCATCAAACACGAAATCCAAAGACATCACTAGCGTATCCGGACGCCAATATGTACCAATTTCGAGTACTTCGTCGAGTTCTTCAACAAATTCTGAATCACCCCCAAAGAAAAAGCCTTCGATGCTGTATAGCGTACAAAAGCTATTTCATGTGGATACCAACGGCAGCAACAGCAGCAACAGCAGCAACAGCAGCAACAACGGCAAATTACATCTCAATTTACGTCCAGCCCTGACAGAAGAAAAAAAAGTAATGCACTCTACTAAACCTCCGGGGAATAAATCCATCCTTCGAGAAGTACTCTCACTCAGACTGAACGAGTTACAAAAATCGAAAAATGACCAAATCGTTAATCTCGTCGATAACGAATGTTTATTAGCTCAAAGATATGGTATGTGCGAGAAGGAATGCATTGGAAGAGGTGCTACTGCAGTTGTAAAGCTTGCACACAAATTTGACGGAACAGATTGTGAAAAAATTTATGCTGTAAAGGTATGCAAAATTACTAGCGAGAAAGTACAGTTCTTTTATTGGTGTTTGAATCTGCAACAACCACCATTCAATCTTTGAGTTCCAAAAGTATTTACGTGTGTACATGCGTCCCTTGGTTTCTTCTAATATTGTTAGGAATTTCGAAAAAGAAGAAAGAATGAGACAGAAAAAGACTACATTAAGAAGCTCACAAGCGAATTTTGTATCAGCTCTTCTCTTGATCACATAAATGTTGTCAAAACTGTAGACTTGGTACAGGATGAGAACCGCAACTGGTGCGAGGTTATGGAGTATTGTGATGGTGGAGATTTATTTTTAGCCATAAAATCAAACCACATGAGTCCAGTCGAGATTAATTGTTGCTTTAAGCAATTGATCAATGGTGTTGGATATTTGCACTCGATGGGTGTTGCTCATAGGTAAGCAAGTTTAATCTGATTGGTTGTCTCTGTTCTCTGCTTATATGTTTATCGTACAAGTGTTATATGTATGTGCATTATGTATGAGTTTGGGTTGGTCTTACTCAAGTCACACTGTCTTTTCGTTTCACTTTATCAGGGACATCAAGCCCGAGAATCTGTTGCTTGACAATAAGGGCCACTTAAAAATCGCAGACTTTGGTGTATCGGATGTTTTCCGCATGCATTGGGAAAGCAGTTCGCATCTCTCTACTGGTTTGTGTGGATCGGAGCCATATATTGCTCCTGAGCAGTTTATGCCTAATAAGGAATATGATGCGCGTCTTGTCGATGTCTGGGCATGCGGCATCGTATACTATTGCATGATCTACCAGGGCATTCCCTTCCGTATGGCTTCTTCATCAGATTCCAATTATCTCACATATTTAGAAGAAAGAGTGCTAAATGAATACGAGCCATTTGAGAGGTTACCAAGAGGATGTAGAAACTTGATGTACCACATCTTGGAACCAGATCCTGGCATGAGATATGACATCGATAGTATTAAGGCTGATCCCTGGTTCGAGAGTACAGAGACGTGCTCAAACGAGTCAACGTTGTTAACACAAGAACATAACCATATTCCCCCAGAATGTTTGAACAAACATAAATCAACGGAAAAAGCCAAATTCTAACGAAAAAGTATATATCTTTTTGTATAATAGCATGGCCATGAAATAGATTAACATTTATTCGTTCGATAGGCTATGTACTGAATCATTCTAATAATACCTCTTTGAAAACATGTAAATATAAGCGTTTTCTTGCGAGATACTAATAAAATGCAATCTATTTGAAACACTGCGCGAATTTTTGTAAATGTACATATTATGAAATAGATATTATTGCATTAACTCTTTATTTAAGATTCTGTCGTAAGTTTAACATGATCGTCATCAATGGTAGCATACAAAAGTCCTTCCGAGATAAGCCATTGAATACCATTACTATTTAAAAAAACACGTTAATATTCAATAAATAGTTGTTATTACCAAGACCCATTTGCTCTTCCCGTCATACTTACTCGACGGCATTTGCTCCATGAGAGTTCTTTAGTTTTTCAATAATTTCTTTCTTATTGACACCAACACCATCATCCATAACATTCTTCGATTGAATCTGCTTTACTATATCGTGAATCTCGCGATGCAAAGGTTTCTTAAACAGATCGTTGTTTCGTCTATCCGATACTTCGTCTTTGTTGTAACTGTATCCGCCCACTGATGAATAACTAAACTTTGATTGGGATTGCGATTGAAAGGGCGAATCCGTTTGCGATTGCGATTGCGACCGTGACTGTGGCCGTCAACAGATAACAGAACTGTAAATAATAAAAAAAGCGGAAACGTAATGATAATAAAACCGTCACTCACAAGATGCCCATGTTTTGCATGTAAATGTGCTTCAATGACTTCAAGTGTATGTTGCGTTATCTCGTTGAAATCTGTCACAGGCCTAACGCAAAATGAAATGACCTGGCGTTTCTCCCCGAAATTCTTTATCTGGCCAAAGACTCGGGCATACGTCTCTTTACTAGATAAAGTATTAATAGGATGTCGCATACGTATTGGCAAGCACATTACGTTCGATAAATACCTTATATTAGGCTTAGATACCTCTTCTGGTTTATCGTTTTGAAGCCAGTATCGAACATCAATGCAACCGGTTCCGTCATCCATTATGTAGTTTGTATCGGTTGTAAGTTCGTTAGAAGATCTAATCCATGCGACAAATGTCACCTATGTGATAGATCAAATCGGTTAGCGAGTTCTTCCTTGTAATCAACATCGCCATTCTTCTTGATAACAAAAATTTGTTCCGTAACAAACCACTGAAACTTCTTGACCATCAATCTTCATTATCGAGTCAGTTGTATCATATGCTACAGACAGTAGCTGAGCTATTGTGACTGGTCTCACCGACTGCCTAACGTATTGTTTAGAAGAGCCCTGATATAACAATAAAGGCGCGTGTTACTTATATTGAAGCTTTTTTTTTTTTCTTTTTTCGACAAGACTGATCTCGACGACAACCTGTGAAGTGGAACCAGCGCTTCCAGTTGGTGAGTGACTGTTAATAGGCGACTCGGACATCCAGCCACTGCCGATACTATGTTCCCCTGGGCTCGAGCCATATGACTGTCTATATGATCCATGACCGTATCCTTTACAAACGTTACGCGTCGGTTATCATGAATCATATTAAATGAAAGGAAAAGACCCATAATGAAGAGGCATACCTGAAGACATGTTTAAAAGTTAAAAAACGCGTAACTCGAGAATGTAATGAAAGAATGTAACATAAGTACACGACATTTGGAAATTAAACTCTCCTCCCCGATTGGCTATTGGAGAAGAATTTTGATTTGACAAGAATGCTACCACAAAGTTGTAAACAGTTGATGACATGATTTGTGGCGATCAAACCATCCCCTCACGATAAACCACGTGGGCGCTCATTTTGCCCAAGTAACCGTATGACAGGTATATGTATAATATGATTATTAACATAAACCTTGTGATCTTTGCTGCAAATCGTATGATTAAACATATGATCAAAATTTAGTCAAAAAAAATACGCCCAAACATTCCCTTGACATATGTAGACTTTTTCCGTCTCGATCATTTTGGTAATATTAAATCAAACACGCACGTCATTGTATTACGAATTTGATAGGCATATCAAGATCAACTCTACGCATAAGGAAACATGAGTTGTGGGGAGGGAGCATTCGTCAACCTCAATGAGGCATGGGTCCCCATCTTGATAATTTCTTCTACTTTGCTTTCCCGTCCTAATCCGAGATTACTAATCCAAAGGAACGGAAACTCCAGAATAGTCTCGATAATTTGATCAACTTGTTTTGTTCTCACATTAACGTGTTGCTTAATTGTTCTTAGTGGATTGGTTTGAGAAATTGGTCTAATTTTCGAACTCCTTATGTGTCTTTCCCACGAACACCCCACATCTTTCAACTTGGGATGCTTGCGTTTAATTTTCAAGCTTTATTCAAACCCAGGTATGTAGTCACTGTCTTCCTATTGCTACAAGTCTAACGAGAACCTTAACGGTATTTTTTATACAGCGTTCTTGCCTTAATTTGTGTTAGATTATGGAATGCTATGATAAGAATTTCTATTAGTCAAGGACATAAGTACAATACCTTTTGTATCTTGAATTTTACGTATGGACTTAATACACTGATTTCGAGAAATAAATGAGTTCATTATCGTTGCATATAAACCACAACAAAAGCAGTTGATATAATACGTGAATGACAATTTGTTAAAATTATTCGGTAAACGCAAAATCTTGACATGTTTACTGATATTAATCATATCTTGCATACGGTATGAATTTAGCTTTCTTATAAAAAGTGATGACGCTCGATTTTGGCTTATTAACGTAACAATAGCAATTTTATTGACAGGTTTTATTCTTGTATTCATGCTTTTTTCTGAAATCCTATATAATACGAGTTATTAATTATTAATTGTCATGGAAGACATCTGTCGGATGGGTTAATACGCAAGTAGAGTGAGTATTGCAAAACACCCGGGCGGGTTATTTCTGTGTTAGAGACTCCTAGTTAATGACACGCAATTATCTTTCGCTTACTGAACTAGGATAGCTACAATAATAGGGAGCTTTCGCCAAACACTTGTTACAACGACTCCTGAATTTTTTTGAATCGCTTCAATTTATAATGCTCGATTCCGACATATAATGATTACTTACCAGACTATTGTAATTTACGATTAATCGTGGGTGGGCTGGTGACTTCTGAAACCGCCTATATAACTGTAGTATAGTTACATACATACAGATTTGTTACTATTATAGACAAGCCTCTGTTATGTGACTAAAGTTCTCCTTTACTCTCTAGGGTCAGTGGGAAAGATTTTATTGCTTGTATTTCCTACACACTGTATATAAAAATAGATTTATTGATAACATATCGACTTGAATCCCGTTATTATGCCGTAATAAAGCGTCTGTATATACTGTCAAGTTACACGTACGATTGTACAGACTTGTATTACCGTTCTAAAGAGAAAAAAAAAGCGCGAATGCATTACCCAAACACCGTGTAACTGTAAACAGTACCTTTACCAGGGAGTTGATAATTATGTCGTTTTCTTGGTACTGCATATTTTGAAGCAGAAAATAAAAACATAATTGAAAATCAAATTATTCAAAATAAATTATTTTGCTAAACCAAGATATAAAGAAACATCGGTCATTCCTTGAAAACGGTTCATCAGCGAACAAATTCCGTATGTAATTCACCATCTGTTTGCTGCGCCGAGAACTTTACGAATAATCGCCGCAGAATAATAACTTGGCCAAGAAATGATTCCGACTTTTCCGATTTTGTGCCAAGAAAAGTTCGATTTACGGGTCGATTCCTTAATTAAATGTTGGATCTGTTATTTAATGACGCAATTTGTTATTATTATCCCAAATCTAAATACGCCGTCATTCCAGGAGGGACCGTACCCTATATATGGAAATACGTAACACAATTCATTAAAGTCAATATTTATACTATTTAAAA